TGGCACTCTTCATTCAGTTGCACCGACGTATTTCCCTTGAACGCTATGGTGAACTCAGGAGGACATCCTGGAGCCTGGCTAACATTATTAGCCATTTCAGGTCATTAATCTATGAAGAAATACATGAGCTAACGTTAGCATGATGTTGTTTGCATTTGAGTTGACCTACCGCTTTAATTCGAGTATAACTTGTTAGCTGCCTTAATGTTGGTATGAAACGTAGTTTATAGTTTTATTTACCTGATGGAGCCAGAGAAGGAGGCAGCGAAAACAGTCCGGCAGAACAATTCAAAGACGGGCCACTCTGTTACTTCTGAAGGTCGGACCCAGTCCGGAGGAGGAGGCAGAGAAAATAGTCCGGCGGAGCGCGTCAAAGACGGGCCCCTATTTTACTTCTACACCCTCTTTTGCATGATATAAAATTAGTGCAAGTGCTGCACTGAGCTGACTGGTCATTTTATTAAAGTTGACCGCAGCTGCTCACTCTCCATGTATGGGAACACTTCTAGTGGATTCTTCTTCGTTGGTTTTCAGCGGGTGACTTCTTCTTTGTTAGTGTTCGGTGGGTGGCTTCACTCCGGTTGGTGGACTAGGCATCAAAAATAGGAATCGAAAATAAATATTTTGAACGGTTCAGGAAAACCGGACAGTTAGTCCCGGTTCCAAACTATTCTCGATCCTCGATGCCCAACCCTAATGTTGACAGACTGAATGTGATCTTTTGTCCCATTCTATTAATGCCGACCTGCATTAATAGATTTGTTTATTCGAGCGAGGAGATACTGGAACTAGCAAATTATGCCACGGCTGGTATACGCCATCTGATTCCTAAGGAGCTTAGGTGCAAGTACCGAGGATGTTGAGCTAGTCGTAAACACAATGCCAGAATGAGGGCTAGAGTTAAAATGTGGAGGCTTTCAAAACCACCAGTTCCCTCTGTGGTTATAGGAAATGTTAATGCACTGTCCAACAAGATGGATGAGCTTACTGCATTGATTGGGAGCCAGCAAAGCTACAGAGACGCCAATCTGCTTATCTTCACGGAGACTTGGCTAACCAGCTGCATACCGGATGCTAATGTGGACCTGCCTGCCTCCTTCACTGTGAGAGCTGATCAGGATCCCAATTCCAACGCAAAAGACAGGGGGGGACTCATCCTGTGTGCTAACAAGCGCTCTTGTCACCTTAATCATCTGACTGTTAAAACTGTAAAATGCAGCCATGACTTGGAGCTGCTAGTGGTTAGCATCAGACCTTACTATATACCACGTGAGTTCTCACACATCATCACACTTTGTGTCTACATACCTCCGAAGGTTGACACTGAGGTAGTGCGTGTGTCTATATTTAACATGACTATGGACTGCCCCAACACTCAGATGCATTTTTCCTAATTTCTGGGGATTTTAACCATGCCACTCTGGGCAATACTCTTGCCTCCTTCCACCAATATGTAAGCTGTCCCACTAGGAAAAATAAAACATTAGATCTGTTGTATGTTAGCATCAAGGATGCATACTCTGTTTCACCCCTCCCTTTCTTGGGCAAATCTGATCATAACCTTGTTCATTTGCAACCTATATATACGACTCTGGTGAAGAGGCAAACTGTAACCACGAGGCAGGTCAGAAGGTGGTCCCCTGAAGCAGAGCATGCACTAAGATTGTTTTGCCACTACTGACTGGAATGTATTGGTTAACTCACATGGGGAAGACCTGAATGGGGCAGTGGGGTGTATGACGGACTATTTGAATTTTTGTATGGACCAGGTGTTACCTGTTAAAATGGTGAAGTGCTTTGCCAACAACAAACTGTGGATCACTGCTGGAGTGAAGGAAGTTCTTAATAAGAAGAAAACGGTATTTAGGAGCAAAGATTGGGTGACACTGAGGGAGGTACAAAAAGAACTGAGAATCTGCCTGAAGCAGTCTAAGGAAGCATACAGCAAAAGTCCTGAGAAGAAGCTGAAGGATAATAACATGCATGAAGTCTGGAATGGCATGAAAACTATTACTGGTTGCAGGGGTAGGGTGGGCTATATGGACCTCCAGAGAGCTGAGGAACTGAATTCATTTTTCAACCGGTTCAGTCCCCCAATGACCAGCTGCTCATCCCCACTGGCCTCCCCTGATCATGTACATACTGCTGCTCTTCAAGATGCCTCTCTTCCATTCTTGGAGGTGCCCACCACTCCCATCTGAACTCCTTCATCTGTCACAGTATACCAGTTGACCAGGGAGCTATGACATTTCCGTTCAAAGAAAGCTGCAGGTCTGGATCAGGTCAGCCCAAGCCTCTTGAAAGCCTGTGCTGAGGAGTTGGGTGAACCCTTACACCAGGTCTTCAACTTGAGTCTGAGGCTGGGGAGAGTTTCTTCACGGTGGAAAACATCCTGCATCGTTCCAGTCCCAAAGAAGACCCAACCCTGGGAGCTTAATGACAACAGGCCGGTTGCACTCACATCACATGTGATGAAAACACTGGAGCGACTCGTCCTTCAGCTTGTTCATCCTCAAGTGTTGGTGGTGAGAGACCCCTTTAAGTTAGCTTACAAGGAGAAAATGGGTGTTGAGGATGCTGTTATCTACCTCTTACATTGTGCCCTCACATACCTTAATGTGGGTGGGTGTTTGGTGAGGATGCTATTCTTTGACTTCTCCAGTGCTTTTAATACAATCAATCCCAGCCTTCTCCAAGAGAAACTGAACATCATGTCTGTGGATGCCCACTTGGTGTGCTGGATATCAGACTATTTGACCAACTGACCCCAGTTTGTCCTAGTTGGGGGTTGCAAGTCCTCAACATTGACCAGCAGTAAGTACTGGAGCACCTCAGGATACAGTGCTTTTGCCCCTCCTTTTCACTCTCTACACCACTGACTTTCAGTACAACTCTGATACATGCCACATGCAGAAGATCTCTGATGACACTGCTATTGTGGCATGTATTAGGAAGGGCGAGGAGGAAGAGTACAGGGGCCTGGTGAAGGACTTTGTTCGATGGTTCCATCAGAACCAGCTTTCGCTGAATGCCACTAAAACCAAAGAGGTGGTGCTGGATTTCCGCAGAGCTCCACCCCTTCTGCAGCCCATCATTATTGATGGATCAGAGGTTGGGGTGGTGTGAACCTATAAGTATCTGGGGCTACAGCAGGACAAGCTGAACTGGACTGCAAGTATGGACGCTGTGTACAAGAAGGGGCAGAGCAGAGTGTACTTTCTCCAAAGGCTGGCCTCTTTCCGGGTCTGCTCTAAGTTATTGCATGTGTTCTACCAATCCATTGTGTCCAGTATACTTTTTTTTGTGTGTGTTGTGGGGGCAACACTAGGAAGAAGGACATCCTAAGGCTGAATCGGCTCATTAAGAAGGCGGGCTCTGTGGTGGGACTGGGCCTTGACTCTGTGGAAAAGGTGGTGGAGCAGAGGACGCGCTCCAACATCAGGGCGATCATGTCCAATCAGGGCCACCCCTTGAACTCTGTCTTCTCCAGCGAAGTTCAATGAGCTCCAGACTCTGTTCATTGAGGTGCTCTACTAAAAGACTAAAGAACTCGTTTGTCCCTCGTAACATTATGTTGTATAATACGGCCACTCCTGGCAGGAACCATGACCGCCCGCCTGCCCGCTAAGTTGTACCAAGATAGAAGACCGGTAGGTAAATATGTCAGAGCTTTTCATACCTGTGTTCCAGTATCAGACACTGAATGTGTTACACACCATGACAGGAAGTGTTCTCATGTGGTCCCAGTGGTTGTATAGCAGTGTAGTATCAATGGTTGTATAGCAGTTTAGTATCAATGGCTGTATAGCAGTGTAGTATCAAATGGAAGGTATTACACATCATGTATGGAACTGTGCACAACTACTGGAGAGAATTAAGTAAGTAAATGTCCTAAAAGAAAGTCATATTGCAAACATCTCAAAATACCATACAAGCCTCAGAGTACCACATGAGTTTCCTAACAGTGTGTGTCAGTGTGCAGCATTGTAGTTACACAACCACAGATTATGCAGCTCAGAATGTCACAACTGTTTCTGTAAAAAGCCCTACTGAAGGTGAACTTTTCCTTTTAGATAGTCCAGAGCTTGTAAGAAGCACAAAACGAAGAAAATCAAATCTGAATTTAAAAACAGTCAAGTCAAAGTCGCTTTAAAATCTAAATGTGACATTTATTTATTTATTTTTATTAACTAATATGGCTGGGAATGCTCTGCCCATGAACCATATGTTTGTGTTCGTAAAAAGCTGGATGAGATGCTGGCCGAGGCTGCAGCTCCAAGGATGCCCCCGAGTCTGTGAGCTTGGCTGAACTGATGAGAGTATAAAAACAAGCTGCACACACTGCTCGTGGCAGATTCTCCTGACTGGTCTTCATGCATGTACTTCCTGTATGTCTGTGTGTACTTCCTGTATGTCTGTATGTACTTCCAGTATGTCTGTGTGTACTTCCAGTATGTCTGTATGTACTTCCGGTATGTCTGTGTAACCTATCCTGAACATCTGTATTTGCAAGTAAAATACAGTTTAAAAATCTTCTCCTGCCATCAAGTGTGGCTCATTTTGAATACGTGAGATAAACCATGAAGTATGATCAGAATTAAAGTTAAGGTATTTAACTTTATATTTAGGGAGTGGTGGTGCAGAGGTTAGAGAAGTTGTGCTTGTGGTTGAGAGATCACCAGTTCGAATCCCCGAACCGCAGCATCAAACTTTGGGTGGGACAGGCACCCCACTCATGTGGGCTGCTCTGTGGTCTGTGTCAGGAAGTTCAAAAGTGTCCAGCCTAAAAACAATTGCAAAATCCTCATGCACGTTGGCTCGCAGTGGCAGACAAAAAGCAAAGTTAGGATTATCTTTTACTCGTGAATCATTTCATGAAAAGCATCATTAAATATAGCCATGTTTAACTAACACTTTTTTCCCCTGTTGATATTTACACGTGTTCCTGTGTGTTTCCACACAGATTGACATGTTGTTTGTGTTCTTTGTTGTTTCTCCAGCTGTTTGGAACTGTCCTCACAGGCTTTGGACTCTGGCTCCTCCTGGACAATCAAAGCTTCATCGTTGTCCTCAGTAAGTATCTGAACAGGTTTAATGTTGTTTGTTTGTTTGTTTGTTTTATCTGAGGGGACAGCTGAGTATTGCTGTCAAATAGAAACTACCAGCTGCAGTCGATCATGATCACTAACAGGAAGTTAATAGACCTTGTTAAGTTTAAAAGCACTTCTTGAACCTTCAACACCGTAATTATTAAGTTTAGGTGACTGTACTGTATGTATATTTTTGAGCTTGGAGCTTGTGTAGATCAGAGAAAATTCACGATGAATTCATCTTGTTTATAAAAATCAGTGAAGTTGTATATTGTAAAATCATTCCAACCTGGAAAAGAATGCTTCAAATAAATCATTGAAGGACCAAAATTAATCAGACATTCATGCCCATGATGTGTAAATGGAAACTTGTGACTGCAGCTATACAACGGTTACTCAGATAACTGACACATTGATCAGACCATTAAATTACTGAAAAATACAAATCAGAAATGGCTTTCACCTTTTCTGTTATTAAAAATGGAATTGGAGCTGAATTATTTATTTGCAGTAACTGTGCTATGAAGTTAAAGCGTTTGTTTTAAGCATTGAATCAAGTATTGATGAGGTAAATGGTGGCAGAGAACGAGGAGAAAGAGACGAGCCGTGTCTTTGAGACAAGATGGAGACGAACACTAAGCGAGTGTAACAGAGCAGTGAGCATCACTGAGGACGTTTGTCTGCTCAGCAGGTGTCAGCCTTCACACACTGGGCTCTTTCTGCTCCGTTCACCATGCATGCATCACATCAACTCATTGCTCATCACTACACACACTCAGTCCTTACTGTGTCATCGGAGACCAGACGCCGTGAGTCTGGGGCTTTCAGTAACGTACTAATACAAAGCAAACTGTTCAAGAATGATGAGCTGTTCATGTTCAGCTTGGTGCCTGCACACAAATGACATGCACTGCCTGGCCAAATAAAAGTCGCCACCTGGATTTAACTAATGAAACAGGTACGAGCTTCCTATTGGATAATTACTGCATGAGTGATTATCTTTCAGCTGCAACAAGTTATTTAACTCCAACTGGTACAATGAGTTGCTTCTCATTTCTTAAACAACCATGTGGAAAGACTCATGGCGTGGTCGTGGAAAAGATGTCATTCTGTTTGAGAAGGGTCAAATGATTGGCATCAAGCAGAGGAAACATCTAAGGAGACATCCGGGAAGATGGCACCGCTGTGCATGGCCTGCCCTCCACCTCTGTCCGCAGTGATTGTGTTTTACCTGTTTTTGTCATTTTTCACCTACAACATCGACTAACTGCTGCTTTATGAACGTCATCAACTCCTAAATCTCCGACTATCTGCCACCAGTCTCGCTTTGTTTGATCATAATGATCGTAACCCTGGACCCCCTCTTGGATCCCCACCTCTGCTTGAAGACGTTCCTGTGTACCTCCGCTGTGGTATCCTGCCTGCTCGAAGACATCGCTCCAGGCACCGTGGAAAACGGGCCGGCCGTCTTGTGAGGATCAAAGCCTGCCGGGCTGCTACTGTGTCTTCCTCTTCAACCGAGGACCACATCTTAAATCACCTGTCCTGGCGCTGCGTCGATCCACCCGAGTCCTTCCCGGTCCCACGGGTCGGGTCACGCTTCCACAGCAGACCTGTTCGCTGCGGCTGGGCTTCCGGTCGTTGGAGTCGTGGGTCGAACTTCACAAATCTGAGACCACTGGTCTTAACTTCATGGACAACTTGTCCTGCTGTGATTCCTACAAGGATTGCACTGATAAACGCCAGATCTCTGGCTAATAAAACGTTTATATCAAAGGACTTTTTCTGCGTGACTGAGACGTGGCTCTCCTGTGGTGAGTTCATGGCCCTGTTGGAAATTTTACCACCGGACTGTTCTTATTTTAATGCTCTGAGAACATCAGGCAAAGGTGGTGGATTATTAGCTATTTTCAAAAAATGATGGAACTGCAAACTGGTACAGATACCAGCTAATTTTTTGAGCTTCGAACTGCTGTGTTTTGAGGTGGGCTGTTCAAATCCTGTTTTTTCTGCTGTGTTATACAGGCCACCCAAATATAATAAGGACTTCATGACTGATCTCTCTGATTTTTTAACTTGGATCTTACTCAGATATGATCGGGTTTTGATTCTGGAAGATTTCAATATACATGTGTGTTGCCCTGAAAAGCCGCTGACTCAGGACTTTCTAGATCTGATCCAGTCTCTGAACTTTGTACAGAATGTTGCAGGACCAACTCACCAGCATGGCCACACACTGGATTTAGTGTTAACCTTTGGTTTATCTGTTTCTGAGTTAGAAATTGGGGATGCAGTTTTCTCTGACCACAAACCCATTTCTTTCAACACTTCTTTTGTCAAGGAGTCCAAACCCCCTCCACCTCCAGCAAGGCCTTGTCGAATATTTAACCCTTCCACTGCTGCGCTCTTTTCATCTGCTTTTACTAAAAACTCTCTCTCTGTCTGTGAATCCTTTTCCATGAACACCCATGAGCTAGTCACTGTACATCAAGAGACCTGTGCTAAGGTTCTTGACCTAGTTGCCCCATTAAAAATTAGGCATCTAAAGCGCACTCCACACCCTTGGATGAATGAGATCACTCGCGCAGCCAAGTGTCAATGCAGGAAAGCCGAACGTAAATGGAAGGACAAACTTCACGTTTCTTTTATCATGCTAAGATCATGTTACAAAGAGTACCAGGCCACTGTTAAATCAGAAACAACAAATATTTCTCCCAAATCATCGCCTCAAACAGCCACAATCCCCGTGTTCTTTTCAACACCATTAACTCCATTTTAACCGTGACTCAGTCTGCCAACAGGGAGATCTCTGCAGTTACGTGTGACGACTTTACCAGTTTCTTTGTTAAAAAGGTTGAGTTGATCAGGTCACTGATTCCTCACACCACAGCTGACGCCTCTCTTTGTCCCCTCCACATCAGTCTTTAACCAGTTTGAACCCATTTCCCTCTCATTTCTAAATGACGTCATTGGTCATATGAAACTCGCAGGTTCCCCTGCTGACCCCATCCCTGCATCATTTTTTAAACCAGTCCTACCCTCCATTGGAACCTCTGTTCTTGACATTATAAACAGCAGTATAGCTACAGGTGTAGTTCCTGACTCTTTTAAACATGCAGTGGTAACTCCTTTAATAAAAAAACCTGGACTTGACCCTTCAACCTGCTCAAACTTCAGACCCATCTCCAAACTTCCCTTTCTTTCTAAGATCCTGGAGAAAATAGTTTTCACTCAATTAAACGAGTTCTTGAGTGGAAATTCTATTCCTGAGATCTTTCAGTCTGGCTTTAAGAAACTACACAGCACCAAAACAGCCTTAGTTAGGGTCTGCAACGACATTCTTCTGGCAAATGACTCTGGTCAGTCTTTAGTCCTGGTACTCCTTGACCTTACCGCTGTATTTGATACTGTGGACCACAGTAACCTTTTATCCCAGCTAGAACACTGGTTTGGGATTACTGGTGCAACGTTAGAATGGTTCCATTCATACCTGAGCGACAGGAGTTTCTGTGTTAATTTTGCCAAGACTCTATCTACTTCAGTGCCTCTTTCCTGCGGGGTCCCGCAAGGCTCCATTCTTGGACCCCTTCTGTTTTCTTTGTATCTCCTCCCCTTAGGGTTTGTCCTGAAGAAACATGGTCTTTCCTTTCATTGTTATGCTGATGACTCTCAGATTTATCTGCCGTTAACACCTAACAGTTCCTCCTCCATTCGCCCTTTGTTAAAATGTCTTGATGACATCAAGACTTGGATGGCTGCAAACTTTTTGAGTTTGAATGATCAGAAGACTGAGGTCATTGTATTTAACCCTAGCTCTGCCACTGTCACTGATCCTACAAACCTGGACTCCCTTCAGCCATATCTAAAACAGTCTGTTACCAATCTCGGGATGGTTTTAGACTCGGACTTAAAGTTTAATAAGCAGATAAATGCTGTTCTTCAAAAAAGCTTTTTTCAGCTTAGGCAGATGGCAAAGCTCAAGTCCGTCCTGTCCAGATCCAACCTAGAAAAATTAGTCCATGCATTTATTACAACCCAGCTGGACTACTGTAACTCGCTTTATGCTGGGGTCAGTCAGGTCTTTCTCTCTCTCGTCTCCAGCTCATCCAAAATGCTGCAGCTCGGCTACTAACAGGAACTCACAGGTTCGAGCACATTCTTCCAGTTCTGTCCTCTCTTCACTGACTTCCTGTGCGTGTCAGAGTTGATTTTAAGATTCTTCTGCTGACATTTAAGTGTGTTAATGGCCTTGCACCCTCATACCTCTCCGACCTCCTTCATCCTTATACTCCTTCTCGGGCCTTGAGATCATCAGACCAGCTGCTTTTGGCCGTACCTAAAACCAGTTGAAGCTCAGAGAAAATCGGGTGTTTTCAGTCGTGGGCCCTAAACTCTAAAACAATCTGCCCATCAACATTCGACAGGCCACCTCAGTCTCTATTTTTAAATCTCTCCTCAAAACACATCTGTACTCACTGACACATCTGTACTCACTGACACATCTGTACTCATTGGCATTTAACAGTGTGATCTCATTTGGTACTTCGTTGTTGATGATTGTGTTCATCCATTTTGCTTTTACTCCCTGACATTTAACGCAGGGTGATTTGATTTAGTATTTCATTGTTTCTCATTATATTTAATGTTTTTATTCATGTTGCTTTAATATGTTGTTATTAATATTTGATGCTGTGATCTTTTTTGGTAAGCACATTGATAACAGTTACTGTTTTAAATGTGCTATAAATAAATGTGATGGTAAATGGTAAATGGATTGTACTTATATAGCGCCTTTCTATCTCATTTCAAGATACTCAAAACACTTTACACTACAATCTGTGTCCTCATTTACCCATTCATACAACACTCTACTAGATCTCTACAAAGCTAATTGATCAAATAATTCTAATGAGACTAATCAGTGCTTTAGGTCACATTCATACACTGATGGGACACACATCAGAGGCTATGAGGGGTTCAGTGTCTTGCCCAGGGACACTTCAGCATGTGACTGCTGGTGGATTTGAACCCCCAACTCTCGCATTCGAGGACGACTGCTCTAACCACTCAGCCACAGCCGCCACGCGTGACGTGACTTGACTTGAGATTGCAGAAACTACTAAAATTGGGTTAAGAACTGTCCAACACATTATTAAAAACTGGATTGATAGTGGGGACCCATCGTCTTCCAGCAAGAAATGTGGCCGGAAAAAAATCCTGACTGATCGTGATCAGTGATCACTTAAACGTTTGGTGAAATCAAATGGAAGGAAAACAACAGCAGCACTCACGGCTTTGTTTAATAGTGAAAGTAAGAACATTTCCACATGCACAATGTGAAGGAATTCAAGGAATTGGGACTGAACAGCTGTGTAGTCTTAAGAAATCCACTAATCAGTGAGGCTAATCGGGAAAAAAAGGCTTCAAATTGTTAGGGAGCATAAAGATTGGACTCTGGAGCAATTGAAGAAGGTCATGTGGTCTGATGAGTCCAGATTGACCCTGTTCCAGAGTGATGGGTGCATCAGGGTAAGAAGAGAGGCAGGTGAAGTGATGCACCCATCATGCCTAGTGTCTAGTCATCAATACAAGATCTTGGTGAAAATTTAATGCAACACTGGATGAAATAGATCTTGTGACATTGCAGAAGTTTATCGAAACATTGACACAGTGAATGCATGTTGTTTTCAAAGATAAATGCGGTCCAACCAAATATCAGTGTGTGACTTTTTTGGGGGGCCAGGCAGTGTATTGCCTAAAAGTACATTTCCCTCAAGTGATTGGGATGGCTGGTGGGGAGGCCAAATAATAATCTATGGTTGAAAAGGCCACCATTGGCCACCTCCTGGCTCTGCCATTGCACTTGGTGGTGGAAAATATTGCTCTTTTCGCTTGCCAGGATCCATCACTCTGCTCTGCCTTGGACACACACACAAAAAAAACTTCTGTTTTTCTACAGTGTAACTCCTACTTGCGTAAATATGTTGAATAAAAGTATTAAGCTTTACTTGCATATCCTGTTCCGCTCCAGTCTAGAAACATACTCATCTTGAAAACTATAAAAATTTACTATTCAAATCCCTCAGTGATTTGGGGCTGCTTGTTTTATAAGAAAACTGGACTGAAACATTTCAAAAACGTTCTTAACAAATTTGTATGGTTATTGTCAGAGGATGGAAACAACTTGCATCTAATGCAAAAAGCACAAAACTTTACCACTCGAAATGTGTGTGTCCTCAGATAACTCCACACATGTGAAGGTGGCCTGTTACATCCTGATTGCTGTGGGAGCCTTCTCCATGCTGCTGGGCTTCATCGGCTGCCTGGGAGCCATTTATGAGATTCGTTGCCTGCTCGGCCTGGTGAGTCTCTGCCTTCATCATCAGTAGGTTTTTAACAAACAGCTTTTCATCTAAACATGTCCGCTGTGTGGAAGTATTTTACACTAAACACCACAAAACAAGACAGCAACGTGCAATGTCTGCAGAGCCACAGCATCACATTAAACCGCGGTAAAGTTAGTTTTACGTTGGACATTCGATCTTCGGGACTTCAGCGGTCTGTTATTTTGGTTCAGTCCGGAGAAGGCAGTCTGATTTCGGTCAGTCACGCTCAGTCAAACGTGTTGCAAGAGGGGCAGACTGAGCGCGGCTGACCGAGATCAGGCTGCTGCTTCGGATTGAACAAGAAGAAGACATCACTGAAGCCCCGGAGCTCAAATGTTTACAGAGAAGTTGCTAAACTTCATCATAATTAATGACCAACCACTATCAGTTGTAGAAAATGAAGGATTTCTCAGCTTGATACTTGCAGCCAAGATATAGTTTACCCTCCAAGAGATATTTATCAGTACAACAGTAGACAATCATAAAAAAACATATGATTTGAAAATTACAAGAAAATTATACATATGTGTGTGTGTGTGTGTGTGTGTGTGTGTGTGTGTGTGTGTGTGT